CTTTGTCAATAATATTACGATTCTGTGGTTGGATATGAAATGAAATCTATATTTTTATAGGCAAAGGCAGGTGGTTTGTGGCCTTATTTAATCTGTTAATCTATCTATCTATGTTAGAATGTGTCTCTGAAACTGAAGCTAGAAGGTCACTGTGTTCTAGAGTGCTCCATTACTTCAAAGCAACGTTGGCAATAATAAACAGTAAATTAATTAAATTGTTTATAAAAACGTCTTGCTATTGATTTAAAATCTGTTGTTTTGAAACGATCTTCAAATATCGTCTTATTAGGTTGAATGCAACAATACATGTACTAAGTATCCCTTGCAATCTCATGTAATACGGGGTGATTTATTTCTGAATGGTTATATTTAAAGGAATGCATGCAACAATTGATCAAATAATTTTATATTTTCCCTAATACGGTCTTCTATAACTGCCATATAGAAATGTTTATAATGTAACTTTTATTGTAATATGTATTCATTTCATTGATGAAACACTTATTTATTCAATTATTTTGTTCAGTAAACTAAACTGCTGTATCCTTATGTGACTTTTATGATGCAACATAATGTCAGAGCTGCATGGGAAAATGTTACATTTAGTAAATTGCAGTATATCCAGGCCACTGGATGCACCGTTTATTTTTTGTAGCTGCACCATAAAGCTGCATGAAACCAAATTGTACGGAATTTGATAGGTAAAAGCACTTAGATCAAATTTCATGCCCATATTTCTAGAGTGTTTTTTCTTTTTGTTTACCCAAATTATTGTTGAAATAGAGCTATGTTTCAAGCGTTGCGGTCTAGTTATTATCATAGACTAACTAGTAGACTACTTTAACGTAGATTATTTATAACGAAAAATATTTTTGAATTACCTTTTGAAACATCGAAAAATATACACTATATATTATTTGAGTGTGTTCTATAAAATATTTACCAAACCATAAATGTATTTTCAGGAGTTAAAGTGTGTGTTATGTAATGGCTGGGGGCCACCAGTAAATAACACGGATGAACGTAGTCTGTGTTCCGGCAGATATGAGATATGTGTTTCCGGTCAACACCAGGTCATACACGAGTATTGATCTCAGATAAAACACACACAACACGTCCACATATTGTTGATACAACCATAAATATATGCACAAAACTGTAGACCTTTTATCCCTAGTGGATGAAACTAGTAGAATAACAGTACATACAAAACCACTGTAAAAGTTTATTGATCAAACGAATTTAATCTAACAGTTTAAAATACAGCTACAGCTCCGTTCTGTGACATCAATCCTTCACTTTGTTATACCTGTTAGTCAACCAGCCTATTTTTTTAGTTTTGAATATATGTATAATATTGCGTTAGAATAAAGAAAGAAATGTTCCAGTTTTATTTTTATTATTATAATGTTTTATAGCTTAGTTATTTCCAATACTACTATCATCATTTTCATTATAATTTGGAGATTTATAATTTATTATTAATGCATTTGAACAAGCAAATTGAGCAGATGGTCCATAACTATTGTTTTTGTACAATGTAAAAAATGTCAAACTATTGATGTGAAAATAAATTCAATTTCTGATCGATTGATACTTGCAGCTATAAGCGATATGACTGACTGCAAATAGTTTCACGAATTTAATATTTGAGCGATATTAATTAGGAACCATTAAATTGTTCTGAGAAATATATGAAAGTAATAATTTTTCAGTCTGAGTAGAAGTTTATTCTGGAAATAAAAACTGTTTAGATTGTTGTAAATTAAACATTATTAAAAGGACTGTCAAACTTAAAACTAATCTTAATTTTATAATGCATTTTAAATATCGTGTAGTAATAGAGTAAAACATTGTTGACTTCAACTGAAACATCCTTCACACGACAAGAATAGATAATCTAGCAATGCAATTATTAAACTAAATATTGTATTATTAGAATAATTTTTAATTTTAGCGTTTCTAAAAGCAGTCACAAACATAAACTCTAAAATATTTGTTTGTATTTTTACTGGCTTAACATTCTGTAACTCTTTTAGGGTCTTTTAAAAAGCCAACGTCAAAATGTAATTTTGCAACAGTGACTGATTGTGGAATAAATAAAAAAATATCCTATGGTTTAATGAAAGTTATAGTTCACGTTTTAATTTTCTATTATTACATTCAACGAACTATGGGGTCTAAAAAATGTACGATGATGTTTTTGTTTCTTCATACTACAAGAATATTCCATCGATTTACAAATAAAGTACCTGGCTGCTTTGGAATACCTACCAAATTTTACAGTACAATGTATCATCTTTGAATGTAGGTCTTCATTTAAAATTTTCTCATCTTAAAATCTAATCTTAAAATTCCACCTTAGTACGATTTCTTACATTCTTTACATACCTTAACTCAAACATTCTATTGATATGAGTTAGCACTGCAAAGTAGCAAGTATAGAAGCAACAACAAATATTTTGATACTTGTAATAATTGGCCTCCGCTGTGTCTGTAGTCAAACAAGCCTAGCGTATCGATTCTGGATGGCCTCCAACCCCGAGTTGACTAGTTCACTCTCACTCGGAATGGCCCACTTTTGGTAACACAACCCCTTTTATAAAATCAAGTTGAAATATCATGATTTGTCTATTAAAAATACTAATTTTAGATTATTTAATTCAATGTTGGACTTCGTCACATTGTTTTAGAACACGAGTAAAAATACACGTTGTTGACTATAATGGTTGGTGATTTCGTATACATTTTATGGCAATATGATTTGAATTTCCTTCGTTAGCGTATCACTTAATGAGTATTCTGTCATGATCGATGCATGACAGAATAACTGAACATATACGAAAACAGATTAAACAGTTTTCAAATGTAAATCCAAACGAGGAAATGTTGTACAACATGTCTAGTGAGGAATCAAGTTGTGAGCCAGTCTCGCCTTAGACAATTAGACGCCTCCACTCTCAGTTAATCCATCAACCGAGCTGTAAGCACCGAGTAATAATAAATGATCTTACTGAACGACGATGCCTTGCTGTTTTCGCAGTCTCACCATCAACAAAAGATTAAAGAAACATTTTACTTGGGCCGCGATTTTCTTTGCAATACAAAAGTTCATCTTAAACGACAAAACGTGAGATATACGTCATTTATGGTTGAAGACAAAGTATGCGATGTAGACTATTAAAACACTTAATGTAAATGCTAATTTTATATTGGTATTTGAGAACCCATTCTAGAAATCGTCAAACATAAAAGGTTCTTAGAACTGGTTATTTAAATATGCGTATTAGTTTAAAAAATCTTTAAGTACAAAGTTTAAATGTTATATCAAGCGATTCAGTAAATGAATTGTTTCAATTTTTGTACCGAATTAATAATTCTGTGACACTTATTTTTGCTAATAATTAACAGATTTCAGTTGGCGTTTTAAAGTTTGCAATTATTATTGCTATGATTTCTTAAGATACAAGTTTCAATATAAATATTAAGGTGAGAAGGTATTAACTTCCGGGTTTGTTTATTTAATATATTTTTAGAAGCTGTTCGGTCTTCGCAATAGCGTGATGATATTTTAATGTGTTAGAACGGCTTAGGAACCATTTAAGCTGGGTTTTCCTAGGCACGGAAGCGGAGAGCGGAAAAGAAATTAACATAGTGTTCCGCTCCGCTTCTAATGTGATAATAGTAACATTAAATTACCTAAGGCAAGTGGAGTCCGCTCTCCGCGTTCCTCTCTCCGCTCTCCACTTCCGCGCCTAGGAAACCCCGGCTTTACCCATCTAAAGCATATGGGTATATATTGTGTATATTTAAACGTTTCTATAGAAACATTAATAAAAGGTTAGTCCATAATTGAAACCTCTTGATATACGGTAGTTGTTTATTGAAAAAACAACTTTGAAAGCGGATTACATTTGTAATGTAAAGCAGGTAGAACATACCTGCAATAATAATACCTACCTAACAATTTGTCTTACCTACAAACAAAATTATAGTTAAGTAGTTATAGTTTGAAAATTACTACTTATTTCTTAGAAAAGCAGAGAAAACAATTCTATTTGGATATATTGCATTATGAATGTAAATTCTCCCTTTAAAGAAGCTGCATTATTGTCAGACGTGAAATTAGATCTTGTTAATGGAAAAAATGCGACAACTCGCTGTCTTGTCATGATCTCCAAGCGTTGAATTCCAAAGGTTTATTTTGAATATTTCGTTATATATTTTATAGGAATTATTGAAAGGTTTTTACTGCTTTTGGTCATGCAGAAACGCGACTGTTGTGAACTTAAGCTAAATAGCAATTGAATTTTGCTTACACTTCTTTCAATACTTTTCAGCCCAATACTTGTTTACAATTCTTTTCACGATTTGACTGAGAATCAGGTAGATGTTGATGATATAAACTCAATTTTAAGGTGTTTTTTTTCTGTAGACGCAAATTGTTTTAAAATGTTTCTTATAAAACAGTGCGTAAATAACCACAATACATATAAACTTATAATGGTTAAAAGTGAGCGTATGTCTGAGTTTTACCTTTGACTAATTATTTTACTCAATCACATAAAAAAACAACAGAACTGACTATTTTTAAATTTACGAGAATGCACATAAAGGTCCTAATGGTAAGTCTTTAAATGTAGCAACTTGATGCCTGGATCGATGGAACTCATAAGTAAAAAATAACACCAGTTTTAGAATCAAAATGGACGAAATTCAATCGACTGAGTGCCGTATTTTAAATAACTGATCAATGTCCAAAATACCTTTTTTTAACCGAATAAAACTGACAGGATGACTTATTATAAGCTATAGCATCTGTTATGTCCCTGTTGTGCCCTTAAATATATTAAATTAAAACCCATTTTGTTAGAGCCACTTCTTTCATTGTATTTAATAACAAAAACCAAAACTTAAAGTAAACATGAAACAATAATATATCAAACCAGATGACAAGCAAATAAACAAACTATTAATGTAGACCTCAGGACATCTCCCTCTTAAAGTTCTTCTATGAACCTCTTAGCAGGTTTAACAATTCTGGTAGGTCTGTGTATGGTTGAAGAATGATTATGTAGGTTGGATCTTGGTGTATGTGTCTGTCTTGGAGGAAGTGTCTGTGTATGGGGGTTTTCTTTATCAGGATTTTCTCTTTCTCCAGAGGAGAACATAGGGAATAAGAATTTTGAATTCCTGATATATCTTCCTCCCCTTTTTGTTTCAACATTATATTTCCTGTTCTCTAACTTCTCCTTGATTACCCCTTCTTCTCTTCGGTCCGATACCCAAACTTTAGCGTTTTCTGGGTAATCCTTGACCTGGGTCACTCTATGTCTTTTATTGAACTGTTGTTCCTGTTTCCTCTTTTCTTCCATTTGTCTAAGTCTATATCTATTGTGATTTGGAGTGGCTGGAAGTAGAGTTGCTTTATTCACTGGTAGATTTGTTCTTAAATTCCGTCCCATTAATAGTTGTGATGGGCTATAACCACATTCCTTTGGCGTCGTATTGTATGCCAATAAGCCCAGATGTCTATCCTTACACTTCTTTAATATGTTTTTGAAGATTTTCACACCACTTTCAGCTTGACCATTGCACTGATGATGGTATGGTGAACTAGTTTCCACTGTGAAGTCGTATTCTGATTTGAATAGTTCCCATTCTTCTGATAGAAATTGCACACCTGAGTCTGATCTAATTGACTCGGGGATGCCATGCTTTTCAAACGATGTCTTCATTGATTTAATCAATATTGCCGTTGAACAGTTAGATACCTTATATACATCGATGTATTTGGAATAATAATCCATGAGAATTATGTATTTATCATTGTTGAATTCACAAAAATCTACTCCGATTTTCTGCCAGGGTCTTTCAGGAACCTCTGTAGGAATCATAGGATGGCGAGGAGGCACTCTGTCAGCAATGCATTGCGGGCAATAGGTTACTTTTTGTTCGATGTGATGATTAATTTTGGGCCACCATACTGACATTTTAGCCCTTTCTTTACATCTTTTAATACCTTGGTGACCTTGATGAATATTATCTAACATTTCTTTTCTCAAGGATGGAGGAATCACTATTTGATTATTTCTCATAAGTATATCTTCATTGATCGACAATTCTGCTTGATGATCCCAGTATTCTTTTAATCTTTCATTTAATAGGTTCTTATTTTTAGGCCATCCTTGAATTGTAATATCTAACAATTCCTGTAATTCTTCTCTTTGATTTTTTATTATTACATCTAATTTATTAGATGATACTGGGATTGATTGAACTACTGTTCTTACACATGCTTCTGCTTCTTCTGCAAGTTTCTCAATATCTTCCTCTTCAGTTTTGTTGATTGGCGCTCTTGATAACGTGTCGGCAGTTGTTAATTGTTTTCCTGGTACCCACAATATGTCGTACGAATATCTCATTAATCTCATTTTAAATCTCTGAACTCTTAGCGGCAGTTCATCCAAACCCTTACTACTTAAAAGAGGAATCAGAGGTTTATGATCAGTTTGAATTTGAAACTTCAATCCTGTTATAAAATTTTTGAAACGTTCACATGCCCATACTATTGCATAAGCCTCCTTTTCAATTTGTGCATATTTCTGTTGAGTCGGTGTTAAGCTCTTTGATGCGTAGGCCACAGGTTTTAAATGTCCTTGATGTTCTTGCAAAAGTGTTGCACCCAAACCATAAGCTGATGAATCGGCCGAAATTATAGTTTTCCTTTTCAAATTGAATGGTATTAAGGCAGGAGTTGTTTGTAAACTCTTTAAGGCTGTTTTAAATGATTGTTCTTGACTAGGACCCCAAACAAAAGCCCTATCTTTTTTTAGTAGTTCCCTCAGTGGTTGAACGATATCAGCAAGGTTTTCTATGAATTTTCCGGCATGATTCAACATCCCTAGAAATCTCCTAACACTTCCCACATCACTGGGTGTGGGGAAATCGATTATTGCTTGTAAGTGTTTGGGATCTGCTTGAATCATACCAGAAGAAATAATGTGACCTAAGAATGAAATCTTTGTTTTTCCTATTTCACACTTGTCATTTAAGGTAACTCCTTCTTTTTCCAATTCTTGTAACACTTGGTCTAGTCTGCTGTCATGCTCGGGTTTACTTTCTCCGGTTATTAAAATATCATCCATATAACACAAAATTCCTGGGATGTCTCCAATAATACTTTTCATCCTGTTACAAAATATTTCCGGGGCTGTTGAAATTCCGAAGGGAAGTCTTTTAAAACAAAATCTACCAAATGGTGTTATAAATGTTGTCAATTTTGAGGAACCCTCATCTAGCGGTATTTGCCAAAACCCCGAATTAGCATCTAATTTTGAATACCATTTGGAATTCCCTAGACATCCAAGTAAGTCCTCAACAGTATTAAAAACGTTATTTTCTCTCTGTAAATGGTTGTTTAAAGCTGAAGGATCAATGCATATTCTTACACTGCCATTAGGTTTAGGTCTTACCACCATTGGATGACACCACTCCGTAGGTCCGCAAACTTCTTCAATGATTCCCGCTTCAACCATTCTTTTAAGTTCATTTTTCACTTTTTCTCTTAATGGAATAGGTATGTTTCTAGGAGTTTTTAACTCCATCGGTACCGCATTTTGTTTCAGTTTAAGTTGAGCTCCTTTCTTCATCTTACCAATCCCATTAAATAAACTTGGATATTTATTCTTGATCTTCTGTAGGTCTGTGTTGATATTCTGGTTGCTACAATATTCACTTGACTGAATGTCATTTTTAACTCCTCTGATGACCCTTAAGAACCCTAGGGCTGAGATGCATGGTTTCCCAATCAATGCTTCCTCTTGACCATTGATCACATATATTGTTTGACGAGTTGTTTTATTCTTATACTGAATTACACCTTCAAATTTACCTAAAACTGTTAAATACTTCCCCCCAGGTGTTTTTAAAACAATGTTTGATTTAGTCAATAATTTGTTTCTAGCCATTCTTGGAGGCACAATCGTCACGTCGGCTCCACTGTCAATCTTGAAATGTTCCAATTTCCCATCAAGTTTTACATCAATTTCAAATTCATTCTGTTTATTGTAGTTCCTTGTTGTCGCTCTTATTTTCTTAACTTCAGCTCTGTTAATGTAATACCCGTCCTCGCTTCTATTATCCTGTTCCAATCTGTTCTCGGTATTTTCCTGAATTTGATTCAGGGTTGGGTTTCTGTATTTATTGTTCTGATTTCTGTATTTATTATTCTGTCTCTTTTTACAACATCGGCTGAAGTGTCCTTGCAATCCACAGTAGTAGCATTCAATATTCTGAGCAGGACATTCCTCCTTAGGATGCCTCTGTCCTCCACAGTAAAAACAATTAGAAGTATATTGTCTTATGTTTTGTTTCAAGTTCGGATGTTTTTTCACTTGGTCTATTTCTGCAAATTCTTGTTCTCTTGATCTGTTAACAGTAATTTGTTGGTTCTTTATAATTTCACTTTGTTTCAATCTATTTATTGTTTCATGCAAGGTTAGGTCAGCCATCAGTTGAAGTTCCTTAGATAACTTTGAATCTGTTATTCCAACAATGAGTTTATCCCTAATAAGGCTGTCTTTCATGTCTTTGTAATCACATGAAGAAGCTAATTGATGTACATCTGTTATAAAATCGGATATCGGTTCATTTTGCTTTTGTACTCGTTGATTGAATTTCGCTCTCTCATAGGTCAAATTCACCCTTGGTGTAAAATACTTATTAAGTTTTTCCACCACTTTATCATAAGTCTTTTCATCTTCTTCTGTTACTCCTGCTGCTATTAATACATTTTCTGCATTATCACCCATGGATATTATAAGGAAATTTACTTGCTTTTCTCCATCTATTTGATCTAAATTGGTAGCATTTCTGTACCTATTGAACTTTTTTAACCATGGGCCCCAATCTTCTGGTTTAAAGGAGTATTTATCAATGAAGCCCAATGTTGCTGAATGTTGTGTCATTTTAGATGTTTGTCTTCTTACTGTTATATCTGAGTTTTCTGAGTCTGACATTGTAATGCAGCATATATATTAGACACCCTGTTACTCAATTTATTGGGTCTTTACCGCTGCCACCATGTTGTGCCCTTAAATATATTAAATTAAAACCCATTTTGTTAGAGCCACTTCTTTCATTGTATTTAATAACAAAAACCAAAACTTAAAGTAAACATGAAACAATAATATATCAAACCAGATGACAAGCAAATAAACAAACTATTAATGTAGACCTCAGGACAGTCCCTTTAACTAAATAAGTAACAGAAAATAAGGTCGAAAATATAATTTTAAACACAAATTAATTCTGTGACTGACTCAATCCACTCATATTTTTAATAAAAGATATTGGATATTGATGGTCCATGTAGATGGAATGACCACATCCGTATACAAAAGTCAACGGTAAATTTCTTTCAATTTTTTTACCTAGGACGTTAGCCACGAGCCCGGAATTGTGTTCCACATCATTTCAGGCTAGACCTAGGGGGTTGCGGAATATCACTTAGATAAAATGCATTGGTGATTTGACGGGATTTGAACCCGGGATCGAAGTCCTGCACTCTAATCACTAGACCAGCTCGCTCCACCGTCCATAAAAACATTAGAGTATATTGAAATTAAATTAAACATATTAAATAATGCAGATTGTTTGATTATTTATTTTGTCTATAGTTTAAACACAGAGGTAGAACTTTATACCTGCTACAACGAATCACTTAAAATTAAGTGACGCTTAAATTAGTTAACGTTTTCGTACTATGTTCGTTGGCTTATGTTATTGGTTGGTGTTTGATCTACATTGATAACATTTGTGTTTTAGTTAATAATATGGATATATTTCTTTAACGTAAGGTAGTGAAAGTTTTGTAATATTTTTATTTACTCTATGTCGTCAAGTTTTTTTACCTTTTCATTTCAAATCATGGAATGCTTATACGATAATTTGGCTTTTAAGTAAACCTTTATCATTTAAAATTAGAATAATTTAGTCACCGTATTTTCGTATATTTATCAGGGCAAATTACATGTAGCCTAATACTTTTACACCACTTCTTCGCATAAAATGCAAAAGCAAGAGCACGATGACTGCAATAAGAGCGTTGCAATTATACGTCAACCCCGTACGGAGGACAGGTACTCTGCTAGTGTATGAATTAAATTGATTAGTGTACATAAATATATTATTTATTTAGCATATTAATTTATGGGATTACCTTAGTCTATTTCAATACGACATTTTATTTGAAAACATCCTTTTATTAAGATAAATATATTAGCATCAAAGCAGACTTATGACTTAATATGATTTTGAGTTGGCATTTGTTCACAATAAAGAGAATATTTCCAAATCCACATTTTTTTCTACTTTGAAGCGAGTGCAAAAGAGCAACAAACGCTTACTTCAAAGTTTCTGTCGAGAATGGCAATGTCGGCATTATTCACTGCAGACCTGTTTCGCTTTAGATTTATTTTACATAAAAACTTTTTTATACTTAAACAAATTCTTGAGAATGCAATGAAAGAACCATTAGGTCTTCATGAAAGTTAGTGTGCGTAGGTGAAATAATATATTATTTCAACATTTTAATCAGAAAAGTGAATTTTGCATTGTTCATTTAAATAGGCATATTAGTCTGTGCTGGTCATGACATATAAAAACAAATTTCTTTCAAAAAGTAACACATAGCTTTTGAATATCATTCTTGTTTTTACTGGTGTAATGTATTTATTCAGATACATCAAAAAACATACTGAACATAATTTGAAATGATTAGGTATTTGAGATAAAGTCTTTGCATTAAATTTATTTGCATAGTACAGTAAGCCTCACCGTTTGATTAAAATATACCATTGTGTTAATTTACTACCAAATAATTTCTTACAGAACTTCAGAGACTTGCATTTGTTACATTTTATCCAAAATATTGAATAGGTTTAAAATGGCCAATTTTAACAAACTGAGAGGATAATGTAAACGTTTTAAGCGCTGCGTTGTATGGTTAAGTATTCAAGATAAACTTCACAAGCGTGCTTACCGCAGTGGTGTTTGGTCATGAGTCAGGAATTCATGTCCTGTATAGTGAATACAAAGCACCATAACGAGCGCCATACAATGTAATAACATATTGTGTTAAACAAGTTTTTATCTAGTCTAAAAGGGTTAGAAAATGTAATAGCTTAGCTTATTTTGTAGATACTTTAAATGTTAATTATATTGGAATGGAAATTACTTATCTGACTTTAAATCCTAACCAAACGACGGATATGAATAATAATGTAAATATGTTGTTTTTATTTAAATAAAACTGCATCGATAAAGAAAGACACCTTTTGGAACGAAGTTAAGTCCCAATGATTGTAAAATATTTATCATTTTATAACTGTACCCAATGTTTATCAATTTAGTTCACTGAAGTGTAACAAAA